TAATTCTTGTAATTCCTAATAATAAATGGAACATCCGCTAATTCTTGTCCAATCTAATCATACAGCTGCTTTTCGCTTTTTTTCGTTTATCTTTGCATGTTATTTTATGTCATCCTTGTTTGCCCTTGCAACACATTTATGCTTTATTTCATAAAAATTTTGCTCGAAGTTCTACATGTATTAGAACAAACCGCTTTCAGAAAGAAATAATGCCTATAAAATTAATTAAATATTCAGCAAAGATATTCCATAGCAGTTCAAAGTATAATAAAGATAAATGCAAGAGAAATCTTCGTATCAGTGGCAGTTCATATCCATTTGAAGATTTGTAATTAGTAACAATAATTACTTTATAATTATTTGAACAAATAACATCGTCAGAAGAGGAGGGGATTACCTTGCTATAAACTCTGTGATTCGCATATTTCATTAGATCGACGTAAGATAAGAAAAGTTCGTCAGTCACAGGTATCTCAGAACTATATAGAAGTTGACTTATTTAATTCCTGCACATTTGGGATCTTGCAGCTGTAATTGGCATTATTTCTCTTGATATTAATTCCTCTTGGTATTATTTCGCTTGAAAATATTATTATAAATGAGCAATCTATTTTATAGACAGTGCACGAACTACAATTAATAAAGGAAATATGGTTATTTTAATTTTGTTTCTACATGTTTCTACCGTCTATCAACAAACTTTTGGTAAAAAAAAACGCACCGTACCACAAAGAAATAATAATAATTTCTACCAATTCGTTTAACACCAGTGATAATAGTGAAAGAGTTTCGATCGAATATCTGTCACTAAAAACTTATTTCATCAGCAACAGTACTTTTTTAAAAATAATTACACAAGTAATTACCACACATTGCTCGATAGTATAGCAAAATACAGACTGTATAGTCCTCTAAAATTACAATATAATGTTTTGATCAGTAAACAGATAAAATTTATTATACGAGTATAAACCTTCAGGGAATGAGTTGGGTGTTTGCGAATTGTAGTAAGAAATAGTGAGACAAAATGTAGTGCAATGTTTGTGAATTGTCGTAAGAAATTAAGAATGGTAGAAAGAAATTTGAGAATAATATCTAAAATTCTTATTTTTACTCAATTTTAGTTTATGCTCTAAATTTTGAAGATCAGCTGCAATAACAGTTAAGAGCCAATGTTCCTTATGATCTGTAAAAGTCATTTTAGAGTGACTAATAGACACTACTGAAGTACTACCTTAGATTATTTTTTTTTCGGGCAGTCTAGAGAGCTACAAAAGCTGGAACATTACAATTGTACATTATACTGAATTAATACGATGGAATAGTAAAGTTAGTTTGGACAATTAGTGGAAAATTAAAATATTTTTACACAACACTGCTTGCAGCTGATTGATTTGTATACTGCTTTTATTTACATTAAACCAAACGCAAGGTGTCTCGTAAATGCAGCAAGGCATAATCCCCATAATCCACTGCGATGAATAAATTTTTGAGGGAGTTTTGTATGACTATCCTTAGCCTCCAGACCTGACACCTTTAAAGGTAAGTCAGAGAACTTTTTATTATGGGATCACTTAAGAGTTAATCTGGCTAGAAGATATTGATCTTGAATACATAGAAGAAAATGGCCGACTTATTTCTTCTAGATAGATTCTATCAAATATAGATAAGTTATAAAATCTATATTGCTGGACGACAAAACAACTGTCCATGGTCCATACACATATACATATATACCAATAGGTAGTGCAGTGTTTGTGAATTGTATAATAGTATCCTTCTGGCAATGTATAAAAATGTCTAGTTCTGGATAATTAAGCTATTCGTATTAATTCCACAGGGGATATTCTATCATGTCCCACAATCGTACGATGCGTGACTGAAATGCTGTATTGGCTTTTTTAAAACCAAATTCCAGATACCTGATTTTTCTTTTAGTGTGGCAAGACTAGAAGATACATATGGCTTTCTTTTCGTATTTTATGTTCTAAGAGTATGTATACATTCAGAATTTGCAGCATATTGACTCCTTGAGGAAGAACATCCTTTTCCTTTGCTCCGAAATCGACAGTTTTGCTTTAAAAGCAAGTTTCCACACTAATTAAAACGATGATTATTATCTATTTTCTCATTTGACAGCAACTACCGAAAGTTTTGCAACGTAGGAGGAAAATAAATTTGCGAGTCCAGTTTTCTCTTTATCTTAAACATTTACTTCATTTTTTAGATTATTAGTTACAAGATAAATTGCTTATTACTTCAAGTACTTCCTGGTGCACAATTTAAAGCTTCTACCACAAATATGTACATTTTTTATCACAAGTGAGTCAAAACAAATAGTAAAACTAAACTCAGAATTCAGTCTTTGTTAATTTCTAAAGCAAATTCTAAATACTCCGAATGGTCACCTAATTTCATGAAAATAATCACCATTTAGCTCAGCATACAAACTGCAAGACTTATAAACTGATAGCATATTTATACTACAATAAATTTAAACTATAAACTGATAGTAAATTTGGATTGCTATTCTGATCTAAATTTGCACTGGATAATTACTAATATAAAACTATAGTATCAACTAATAGTAAATTTATATCGATGTCTAATCTAAATTTGGACTGAATAATTCGAACAGATTTGCTTAATGAGAAAGAATTTATGGTACTTTTCCGTTTTGCCGGCGCAAACGATAAAGTCGCCAATAATGGTTTAACTGATGCCAGACGGAATATCTTAGCTGGTAACCTTTTACGCCTCAGTTTCAAAACAAGTTGAAGCCATTTCTTATCAGATTGTTTCTTTCAATACTGGCATACAATAATATAGAATTTTTACACGATATTTAAATTTTATCCCCTAAGACAATTCACGGTAATAAGTCAATTAGTTCTAAGTCAATTAGGTTCTAAGTCAATTAGAACGCAATTACACCGCTCATCCGAAGGCGAAATCAAGTGTTAAATTCATCAATTCTAATGAGAATGCACTAGCGAAGTAAAGCACTGCGGTTTTACATAATTTCTGAGTAAGCTATTCGTACGAATTGAAATAATTCTTGCATTTAAACTTGTATTCCAAATTAAGATTTAACTTGAAATTAATGTAGATAATTACTGAGCAAATTAGATTTTAGTAGCGTAATTTATGTGAGATGAGATCACTTGGGGTCACGTGATACGAACCGGCGAATCAGGATATTGAACCATGGAATCATAGTAAATTCTTAAATTAATGTCTTTTTACAAATTTATTGTCTTTATTTATTGGCTTTTTACAAAATTTTAAACCATATTAAAATGTTTATGCCTTCAAAATAAAAAAAAATTCTTAGAATTAACATTTTTTATGTGTATACTGTATGTTGTCGCCAACAAAGTCTGCTTGGCGAGATTTGCGCCGGCGAAACGGAAAAATACCGAATTTATCAATCTCTAACGTGTTGGATCCTTGACAATAAACATACCCTTTGAGAGTTCGAAAGAAAAGTCTTTAATACCTTTTACTTTTATTAAGAGAAGTCTGCTTCGTAGTGGATTCTAAACACAACAAATTGTGTTCGAGATACGTTGCTTTTCGATTCTGTGTTTTCGACAGCCCTATAAAAAGAAATCCATCAAAAAAGAATGAAACCAATTCAAAATAGATGGAGAACAAAACCCTTTAGTCATCAGCTCTTGAAAACATTACAGGTAAATGTCCACATGACATTAACTTAAAACACATTTACTTGCAAGAACGGGAGAAAAAAAAAGTAGCAGGAAAAACTGGCTTCATTCCAGAAGATTCACCAGCTCTGTTCTTTACCACGTTCCTTTGTTCTTTGGAAGAGAATTTCTTTTATAGGGTCTTCGCAACACATAATCGAATGTCGCCTCGTTGCGATTGTGAGAAGATTACGTTTATGGAGCCAAAGTCGAGATTTGGCGGAGAAATGACCGAGATAGCGGGGAGTGACATTGTTTGATGGGAGGCAGCAGTGACAAAAGAGGAGGAGGGTTGGAATTACGGTGCCGTTGATTAACCCTTAGAATAGACGAATGATTCACTTAGCAAGAACATTTTCTTAGAACGTGAAGGGATTTACCTGTTCTTGATGTGCCACGTCATTGACGACGCGTAGCTTTGTTGAACAATAGCAACGTTGCTGGAAATATTTTCTTGGTAAATAATAACAGATAAACTTGGTAGATAACAGATAGGGCTTTTTAAGAAAGCAAAATATTTCTTTTATCATACCGATTTCAATGAACTACTTCGCTTTAGGGAAAAAAAATCCTGTTCTTGGTTAAAAAATAATCCTCTTCTACGAGCTTGATATTCAACACGTAGACAATGGTACAAATATAAGAGGTTGCTTTTATTCCTAATTTTTAAATGTTTTTCCGAAACTTTCAGAATGTAAACAATGTGATAAGATTAATTTCGGCCCAAACATTTGCTTAATTATAAGCATATTCAAAGAAAGCTTTTTAGAAAACATGTTTTTTTTTTTTTTTATATTTTAAAAATGTGGAGGAGTAAATATAAGATGCGTGCAGTTTAAGATGCATTTAAGATGGGTTAGTTTAAAGATGTGTGCAGTAAGCAGCAGCTCAATTGCAACTGCCACAGAGGATGAACGAATGAAAGAACTGAATTCCCTGTAGTTCCGATTCGAAACGAGTAAAAACTATTACACCTCTGTCATAAAAGATAAAAGAAATTTATGAAATAGCGATAAAATTCCTATAGGAAAAAATATTATTCATTTCATAAAACCCAAGCCCGCAAAAGTGCACTAAAGACTTGAATCTCCAGGTTAAAACTGGGAAGGCGGCAACCGTGGTTACAGCATGAGAACGCGCAGTGGGAAGGTGAATATTCTTCCCCAAAGAGTGACTGGAGAGAGGGGGCATAAACTTCATTTGGCCAAATGCGAATGTAAGTAGCAAATTATAATCCATCATATTTTATTCGGCCGCAGCTTAACATTACGTTTTTTTTTTTTTTTTTTTCAGATCGGGCAGCAGGACAATACGATATATATATATATATCTATATTATATATAAAACATACTCCTGCAGAATTGGAACTATGGATCTTCCGATCGCTACTCGCGTGTGCTATCTGTTACACAAAGAAAGCATGCAGAAATGCCTTATACATTTATATTTTTATTATAAATATCATTATATTTACCTTTTCAAAGCCTTCTATTAAAAATACTGTTGTCTGTTTTCTCCGTGTGCCGAACCTAGGTCAAAACAACAGACACTTCGCTATTTATCTACTTCATCACACAGATATCTTTTGCTTCCTTCTTAGCAATTTATTAGTTTTTAGTAGTCTGTCTATCTTAGCAATTTATTAGTTTAACGTAACAACAACAATAATGTCAATAATAATGCTGTTTAACAATAACACTAATAATAATAATAACATAGACAACAACAATTATATAATAAAAGTAACAACAACAAAAGTAACAATAATAGAAATAAAATTCAAAATAATAATATTAAGAAGGAATATAATAACGACAGCAATACTGCCTCGGTTAATTTCATTCAGTATTTTTGATGCTTTTCAAGTGTTTTCATTCAGTCTCTATGGCAGTAGCCTTTACATTTTGCCAATTCAAAAAATGAGTCCTTTGAAAACTTTTTCAAAGAGCACTTCTATTATTCTTGGAAAAGTAAATGTTGGAAAAGCATTAGAAATCTATTAATGTTAGGTACATTTCATATCGAAAATGAAAAAAAAAAAAGTCATTATTTCATTAATTATAATGTCATTATTTCATAATTATGTTATCGAACAGTTGGGACACAAATGTTGTAAGAATAGTTATTAATTTACGAAGCAATAATGTATAATATAAGTTTAATAGCTGCAATGTACTTGCATTTTTTTGCACAAAGTATCGAAGACTGAACGTTTGGCTTTAGCTGTTATTTCTATTTGTTATTTCACATTCATTCGTCTCACTGTTATTACTCTTTCGATATTCAGCACATTTTAGCTCTACTAAAATAGGCTGAAAAGTAATTTGCTTGCTAAAATAAATTGTGTTGAATGACAATAGATTATTTACGGCTTTTTGTTAGCAGACTTTGGTTTTCATGTACTTTTAAACAATATAACCCAAATTTGATACATTTCCCATTAGAAAACTATTCAGAACATTGCACATCAATGTTTTAAAAATATGATGATTAAACATTTAACTTTAAAATTAATGCATTGAATCTTTTTGTTAAGTTTAATTACATGCATTTTAAGGTTTTTGAAGGTTTAAGGTTTGGTTTAACCACATTATGTCATTTCACTCGATAATTTTGAAGCACAATTATGTTTATGGTCATAAAAAATCATAGTATGTATCTTTTCTAATCGCATGGTATTCAAGAATTCTTTCGGATTTTGGTTTCGAATTGCGTATTTGATTTTGACTTCCCTTGAGGATTTACACTGAAACTCATAGTTTTATGAAACGCAATTTGAAAACAATTCAGAGATAGATGAAGGACAGTTATAAGGCCAGCTCTAAACTAGGTTTTCATTTGTAGAAATGAAATAAAAAAATGAGAAATTGTAGAAATGGGGAGAAAAGTAATAATAGCTTATAGCATCTTTGAAATATCATTATTACAATATGAGATCAATTTGCGATAAGGAAATTGTTTTCATTCATAGTAAAAGTAAAGCAGAATTTCCCATGAAGTTCGAGTTAATCAGAGTAATGGAGATAATAAATATTTCTCCCATTTGTATAATAAAAATGATTGATATTTAGCAAGAGACTCCACATATGCACAAATGTATCGATATAACTGGACCCGAGTACTCAGAGTTTGCTTTAGTTTTTGAATGCGTTTTTCATGTCATTTTAAATGCACAAATGACATGAAAAACGTTGCTTTGGTGTTAAGGCAATAGAAACAAATGCAACTTTTAATTTAGTTTATCTTCCGAATCAAATCCATTGATTTTTAATATTAGCATTCTCTTGTCATCGTCTTTGTTGGAATCAGAACAGGGACAAAGGTGAAGCAAATGAGGCACTTGCCTCAGGTGAAAGTTGTAAGGGGCGTGAAATTTTAGAAGCAAATTTAAAAATAAGAAATGATTGTTAAATTTCAATTTTCAAACGTATCGGAAAAAGCTGTTTTAAAAAATAACATTTAAAGCAATAAAAGTGGCCCCGCTTTCTTGCGCATTCGCACACCGACGAATTTTTTTAAAATCAACGGAGACACCATCTCGGTTTTCGTCCGCACCTTCATGTATAAAATACATATCGGTTAAATTTCGAGTTCGCGTAGTGATGCCTACTACTCGAAACTGCACGCGTAATAACAATTTATGCCCATTTATGCCAGCGGAATGTTTTCATCTATCGCTTTTCCGCGCTGGTATCATTTCAACCTGCCATTTATGCACACACATTCCATTACAAAATCTGCTTTTTGAACTAATAGTATCTTCATATAAATCTATTTAAAACTTTAGGTTGGAATTTAATGCTGCAGAAAAACAGAAGAAATAAATAAAGCTTTGTAATTAAAAATTTAATTATTCATAAACCTGCGCGCTTAACTGAGGGGTTATCCTAACGTCAAATTCTGAAGAGCTGCATGAGTGTTTTCGCGGTTTGCCTCATGTGCAATATAAATGCAAACCAATTCCTTTTAGAAAATCATCCACAAATGCATTATTCCCCTTAGGGAAGATAGCTTTCATTAGCAACCAATTTTAGTTAAAATCATTATCCCCTTTGGAAGATAGCTTTCATTAGCGTTGCGATATCGAATAAAACAAACTAATATACTAATAGAATTATTTTGTCCTTTACAGAGAGTGAGAGAAATTATTCCTGAGAAATGTGAAAATTTAACTTAAATTTAATTAAAGATGAATAGATTTAAAAAGAAACCCCAAAGAAAGATTATAAGTGAGATTATTAAAATTCAGTTTCTAAAAAAAATCAGTTCAACTAAAAAAATATATAATTTTTTTTTTTTTTTTTTTTTAATGTAATAGTAAAATGGAGATATGAAAAGGTATACGAGACCGATTTCGGTTTCTATGAATTGATGAATAAATAATGTAATTATTTTACTTAGGTACTTTAAAAGGACCTTAGTGTCCGAAGTTAGCATTTGAATATAAAAAATGATATTACGTGCTCCAGAGATTTTATCAGATTCTAGTACTTAATCAGGGTAGAAGGTAGATTTTTTTAGACAGCTCAGGAAGATAGTTTATTTCAATCGTATTCTAATTTAGAAACTGAATTAACATTATTTTCAAGGTTTGTAATTACTGTTAATAAAGTGACAAACTTAGGCAAAATCTTCGCTTAGTCTAAAAGGCGGGGGGCGGAGACATTTTTAAACATAGCTATAGCTATTCTTTCTACAGAACATGACTCAAATATCACAGAAAAAAAATATTACCGATGATACTGCTTTACAAGAGAAAAATAAATAAATAAATAATAATACAAAAATAAAAATAATAAATACAGTAATAACAGTAAATTAATAATAATAACGAAAACAGCAATTTTATATTACGCCCGAAACGGGGTTTTTTTCTTTTACGGACACACGGCTTCGAGAGCATTTGGGATAACGCGACAATGGGCTAAAAATATCTAAAAACAGCATTTTTTTAGAATTTTTGATAGACAGTCTCACGCACTGGAAATAAAAATGCGATATTCACCACAGTGCCATTGCTTGCTTTAAAATCGTTGTGTTTTTAAATCAGAAATTCATTAAATTTCTACAAAATATGAAATAGACACATTCGAAATTCCAAATTCAGACTCTTCCAGGTGTCCATATTCGGGAGGAGGACTATGTTATTCAGAATTTGATGACACTAGGTGCCGTTGTTTTTTCGCAGTACGAGAAACATACATACATACATGCACGTAGATTCTTCATTATTTAGTTTCTTTAAATATAATAGAGATCGATAATATTTGGCGCCAACAATTTGAGAACTGATACAGCCGTTTATAGTGATTCGACGCAAAATGCCGTTTCGAGACTAATAGGTCTTCTGAACTAGCACCCATTTAGGCTAAAAATGAAAAATTTTAAAAATTGAAAATTAGGGCTTTTTTGTAATTAAGTATAATATATAATATTATTTATATTAATATAGCGATTTTTGCTATTTATCAAAAAGGTTCTTACCTTTCAACGTTTTCATTTAAAAATTACAAATTATTATTTTGTTACTTTTCTAAACATATAAAGTTACGACTCAAAATACGTACTATAAGTCATCGTATTATTTAATATATAGTTTACCTCTATTGAATGTAAAAGTATACTATTTAATTTGATTGTATTATTGTGGTTCCCATTTACCTCTTTGCCTCAGGTAAAAAAATACGTAGGCACGGCTTTGTTGGAACATCAGTTAATGAAAAAAATGAATCTAATGGAATCCCCAATAAAGTTGGTTGGATTAACAGTTTTTTCTAATACTGTGCTTCAGAATATGAAAATAAGAAAAATAATTTGGTTCGTCATTAAATTTTTTTTTTATTTCCTTTGGAAACTAATGTAATAAAATATTTCTTAAACTTCCTATTATTCGTTGAAGCGAAGAAGACTGTTATACATAAACTTTTCGTAAGTTAGTATTCGATTACAAGGAATTTCAAATACATTTCTTCCTCGTATCAATTGTCGGGCATCGATCAACTTATCCAGTAGCAAACTTCAAAGTCTTAGATTTGATTCCCAGCGTAGGGAAGACTGATTTCTTAAAATTCCTGTAAAAAAAAAAAAAAATAAAAAAACTATCAATGCCACAAAATTACAGACAACCTATGAACACAAACATGTTACTATAAAAAATAAAAAAAAAAAAAAAAAAAAACAAGCACAGTACAAGAAGAAATAGAAAAAAAAATAGGTTACAGTATAATAAATGATATTATACTGATTATTAAAACACAGAAAGGATATTTCCATTCAAGTTGTAAAGTCATTAGGGTTTTTTTTTTTTTTTTTTTTTTTTTTTTTTTTTTTTTTTTTTTTACGGGAGACGTTAAAAAGAAGCAATGCCCTTCCCGGCACTCCAACATGGACTTCTTGAATTCGCGCCGAGTATGCTATCGTTACACCACGCAGGGATGCAGGGAAAAGGGAGAAAATACCTTCTATATTCCCCCTTTAAAGGGCTACTGGGAGTTA